AGGGTGTTGCTGTTTTTAAACTGTTTCTTTTCTCGTTATGTGTTTTTTTTTTTAATTTTTCTTATTTTTTTTGTAAGCCGCCCGGAGTCCTTCAGGATTGGGCGGCATATAAATATATTTAATAAAATAAAATAAATAAAAATAAATAAATAAAATACACATCCTTCACATTTTATGCAATTGAATTGAAAACCCTTGATATTGCATTAATCTTGCACTATGCCGTAGAATTCAATATAGTTACTGCCCTGGGATAGAAGCTGTTTTTCAGCCTATTTGTCCTGGTTGTTATTGTCCTGTACCGTCTGCCAAATGGTAATAGTTCAAAAAAAAAACAAAAACATTTTAACTACATGTATTAGTGACTGGAAACCCCTGAAGGACCTTTTGCCGGGGGAAAAAATGAATTTATGGATTTGATGATTATAAAGGGTAGCTTATAGAAAGAAGGAAATTATGAAGCAACCTTAGGAAAGACAAAACATAAATGTTCTTATAATGGCTGCTAAGCCACGCCTTTATTTTTCTTTCTTTTCTTTTTCTTTCTTTTCTATTTCTTTAGCTTTCTTTGCTGTTTAGTTTTCCCTATTAGTTTAGATAAGACAAGACATTATCCAACTGAAGGGCAGTTCCAGCCGCTAACCGGAAGCATGTCTGCATTTTTCAGCGGAATGACTGAGAATTAACCCCAGGACCTTTAATATATGAAATGCCATATTTTTTGGCGTATAAGACGCTCCGAAGTATAAGACGCACCTAGCTTTTGGGGAGGAAAACAAGAAAAAAAAAATACCTGGCTCTGCCTCCCAGCAATCTGCCTCCTTGCAGCAAACAGCCAAAAGCCCGTTTCAGTTTCAGTACAGCCTGATTAGCACAAGCAGCTGATTGTCAATTGGATCGGCCTCCCAATGATCAGCTGTTTCAGGCTGCAGGGATTGCCATAGTCTCCTTCCAGCTTGTGAAGCATATTCGGGTCACTCTTGGTGTTTTATTTTCTCTTCAGGTCTCCAGCAAAAAAAGTCTGAGCTTGAAAGAATTCACCGAAGAGCCAGTTGCTGTAGCCTTGGTAAGACCCGTTTCTGAAAGATTAAACGGCACGTTCCTTCACAACAGTGTTTTGGTCACCCAAAGGCTGAGAGCAGATCTCGTGTGTGAAAACTTCTGTTCAGCCAGTCGCCCAGCCACTTTCACCCTTCCCCAGAGCACTTGTGGTGATGCAGTGGTTAGAATGCAGCATTGCAAGCTAACTCTGCCCACAGCCAGGAGTTCGATCCTGACCGGCTCAAGATTGACTCAGCCTTCCATCCTTTCTGAAGTCAAATGAGGACGCAGATTTGTTGGGGACAATAGGCTGACTTTGTAAATTGCTTAGAGAGGGCTGTAAAGTGGTATATAAGTCTTAAGTACTATTGCTATTGCTACTTCCTTCCTTCCTTCCTTCCTTCCTTCCTTCCTTCCTTCCTTCCTTCCTTCCTTCCTTCCTTCTCAATGGTTAGAATGCAGTATTGCAGGTTAACTCTGCTGACTGCCAGCAGTTTGATCCTGACCGGCTCAAGCCAAGTGGTGGCCTTGAGCCACGGTGGCTCAGTGGTTAGAGTGCAGTACTGCAGGCTACTTCTGCCGACTGTCATTGTCAGTCTGTTCGATTCTCATTGGCTCAAGGTTGAGTCAGCCTTCCATCCTTCCGAGGTTGGTCGAATGAGGACCCAGATTGTTGGGGGCAAGAGGCTGACTTTGTAAACCGCTTAGAGGGTGCTGCGAAGCCCTGGGAAGCGGTATGTAGGTCTAAATCCTATTACTAAGAAGCTTCTTCCAATTCTAGAACTGAAGAAGCTTCTTGGATGAGAAGCGAAACATTTTCAAAGAAAAAACAAAACGAGAAAGTCCAGTTGCCTTTTGAAAAGCACCTTTGAGAGGAGAGTCAGAAATAACTTCGCCGATCTCCTTCTGGGCCACTAACTTCAATGTTTCACTAAAAAAAAATAAAACGGTAAAAATTCAATTGTGGCTTGCTTTCACCAACCGTGGACATGCTTTCCCACAGGAGGTCATCGTCCCAGAGGTGAAGTGGAGAAGGAGGTCCACGGCGTCCCTTTCGCTCACTCTCCCGGAGGCCAGCTTCCAGTGCATCCATCGAACTTCGATCAGCAATCTCAGTGCTAAGGAGACGTCTTGCACCTTGGAGGAACCCCTGGTATCAGGTGAGGAGAATTCCGAAGGACCTTCTGGCATGGAGGGACAGCATCTTCCTGGGCCGGCCCAGAGGGTGTGTTGGTGCTCCAAGGTCATCAGGAGGGGTTGGCTTGCAACTGAAACCGTCATTTGCAGTTTTGGTTTGGTTGCAAGCGAAATTACAAGATTCAAATTGGGACTGAGCTCTTGTTGCGGCTCTCCAGCAGAGCTGGCAGCAGATTCGGACAGTGAGGAGGTTGGGGAGGAACATGGGCCAGTCCTGGAGTCTGGGGAAGGCTCTGAGGAGGGCTCTGTGTCGGAGGCAGAGAGGAGACAGGGCCATCTGACAGTTATCAGCTGCCTTCAGAGTCAGACATCAGTGAGGCAGACGAACAGGTGGAGGCTGTTCCCAGTGTGCGCATGCACAGAGTTGCCAGACAAAGGGAACAGCTAAAGAACAGGGGGCGACTTGGGAGTAAGGCCACAGGTGGACGATGAAGCGCCCCTCTCAGAGGTAATGAACGACGACCGGAAGGATAGTAAAGTTTGTAGGAGACAATTAGTTCGCTTCATTGGTTC